GCATTCTGGTCGTAAGCTGGAGTTCAAACACGCACTTGCCCATTGTCAAATCAAAGCCAGATTTCCCAAGGGACTCAAGGAGTTGGTTGTGTCCTCCTTCCAGGCTATCGTCCTCTTACTGTTCAATGGCCGTAAAGAGGATGAGCACATCGACTACGACTACCTCAAGCAAGCCACTGGACTGCGTAAGTCATGCGATCGATTCAACTTATTAGTATTACTAACACCTGACAGCAACGGCCGAGCTTAACCGCACTCTGCAGTCCCTCGCGTGCGCAAAGGTCCGGCCTCTAACCAAGCACCCCAAGGGTCGAGAGATCAACGAAACCGACACTTTCACACTCAACGCCTCATTCACGGATCCTAAGTACCGCATCAAGGTCAACACCGTTCAACTCAAGGAAACGGCAGCCGAGAACAAGGAGACACACGAACGCGTCGCTGCTGACCGTAACTACGAGACACAAGCTGCCATTGTCAGGATCCTCAAGGCGAGGAAAAGAATCAGCCATGCCGAACTGGTCAGTGAGACCATATCGGCAACCAAGAACAGGGGAACACTGGAGGTCAGCGGCATCAAGAGGAACATCGACCGCTTGATCGAGAAGGAATTTCTGGAACGAGAGGACGACGGATTGTATGCTTATATCGCTTAAGCTTTTCATATTGCTAGTGGAGTTGGATCTCAAGATATGCGAAGCATCTTTGTATAAGCGGGAATTCAGTGTACAATACCGCTGTTGTTATCGGGGTTCGCATTCGACCATGAATATATCACGATCTTATCTTTGTGCACACCTTGTTCACTCAAAGCACGTTGGGTGAGTTGCGTGGTCATTAGTACTAGAGAACAGTCAAGACCGCAACCAGTGCACTGAGTCCAGCAATCGACTTTCCCTCGACAGCTAGCGGCCGGCTTCGCTCTACTCACCACCTGCTATCCGCCCTTACCGTCGTTGTAGTCGATCTCCTAGTCTATCCCTCCCACACCCAATGCCCAGGCCCACCTTCCAGATTCAGCACTAGTTGCCGAGTTTCCCTGTCGATCCCTAGCCGCACTCAGCCTATCGTACACCCACATGTGCCCGACCACGAGATTTCCGGCGATAAGCAGCTTTGAAACACATCATCTTAGTCCCGGGAGATAACCGGCGAATGGTTGTCCGTACCTTCCTGATCTGCGGAAGTCGCATGTCTTGGAGCATGGGATAGCGCGAGGGATGTCGACGGTCCGGTCATCTTGGTAGCGGCTCTTCATGCAAGATGTTACTATCAGGACGAATGAGAATGAGCAACGTGAGAGGGTGGTTGATGTATGGAAGGACCGAGGGTCCATGCTTAGTATGGTGTCGTAAGTGCCACGCCGGAAGTGGTAGTCTGTGATAGGCCGTTGTACCCCAGCTTAAGAGACGCCCATTGCCCGTTGTCGCGGAGCAACTGTTCCTTTCGGAAGGATGCCAACGACGTCTGCGTCCGGAGTTAATTAATTTCGAGTTATGATCTTCCTTTTTAGGGTCGTGATGGTTCGGAGGCGACCGCTGGACTACCACTGGACTACTTCGGTGACAAGCAGAATGAGGGTATAAAGCTAACATCTTGTACCATTCATTTGAAAGGCAGGTCCAACAGCCCCGTCGATCCCTCGTTACACAGCTTCAGACAAGACACTCGCTCGTCGTCTCATTCTCTCCAGCCGCCACCATGAAGTTCCTCATTAACGCCCTCCTCTTAATCGCGCCCGTCGCCCTCGCTCTCCCTACTTCAGCACCCACTGAGGAGGCAGTTGAGATTGCCGCTGTCGAGGCCAGACAATCTTGCTACGTCCGTTGCGGCTCAACATGCTACACCTCCGCCCAAGTTACTACCGCACGCAACGCGGGTTACAACTACTACCGTCAAGGTGATGAGGCTGGTAGCTCCACCTACCCACACACGTACAACAACTACGAGGGCTTTGACTTCCTCGTTTCTGGACCCTACCAAGAGTTCCCGCTGAGGACTTCTGGTGCTTACACTGGTGGTAAGTTGGTCATCAAGTTTATCACATAACATATGCTGACCATATCTTCAGGCTCTCCAGGTGCTGACCGCGTTATCTTCAACACCGCTGGACAGCGTGCGGGAGAGATCACTCACACTGGTGCAAGCGGCAACGCCTTCGTTGCTTGCTCTGGGTGGTAGATATGTTTTTGAAACATCTCAATAGGGACTTCGAAATGAATTGTGGTGAAGCCCATGAGCGAAGGGCTCGCCATGGCTTCAATATGCTGTCAGTGGGCGAGTCGTAACGAGAGATCGATGTGTCCTACGAGACTTTCCATCCCAGAGTGAAATTTGTGGTCATGGAAGTAGTTTGTTCATGTATATATTTGTGAAACGTTTGAACAAGTCTTGCGGTTTCTACCAGCATAGTGATTAGTTGAAACCGAACGCCTGGAATGGGAGATTTGCCCAGATGATGTCTTTTCACGTGGTAGTACGTATCAAAATCATTCCATCTCAATTTCGTACTATTTCGGTAGCAAGCGATTCTACATGATTCGCCGTCTTCCTATCAAAGAAGACGCGTGAGATGCGTGAAACCCGCAATTCATCTACAACGATATCAACCCTTTATAATGTTACGCAGCCAAATGAAAGTACGCACTGTTACCAAGATGAATCTTCCAGTGGATGTAAGGACCTACCAGACATAATTTTGGGGAGCATTACGGTCAACGACGTGGGCAATCCTAAATGTAAAGGTAAGCACCTGCAGGATTTTTGACTTACACCCAGACGCAATAAAGGCTGAGTCAGGTATCTCGCCATCATGCTGACACATGCGCAGTCAAAACGTTCTCAGGTCTGCAGTGCACAAAAGATCTTACCTCCTACAAGTTCATACTGGGCAGCACACCATGTCAACCTGTTACTGGAAAAGTGAGCCACAAAATCACCTGCTAGATTCTCGCTTTCGTTGTATCAGTGGGGAATGGTAACAGAATAAGAGTATATGGAGCTGGCAACGACGCGAGAACATGGACAGTCATTACTGCTTCTTTGGTGATACTCTGCTTAACCCGCTGAATGAGTTGGATTCAGTATGTCTTGCTGTCTGTTCAACACGAGATAGAGGCGTGCCTTAAACAATCAGATCAACTTTATCAAACGCGTTTACAATGAGTTGGATGACCAGACATTTGCTAGACAACGTTACTCAAATGATGACTCGTGAGGAAAGATGCGTAGATTTGAGGAAGACGAAGCCGTGAGCGTTCGAGTAAGATAGCCAGAACCGACTACTTTCGTCTTTATGTCCTCCTATCCTTTGCTTCACTTAAACCTTTTGAAAGTCGAAGCTCCAACGGCGACAGGGGTCAGACGCGGAGCCATTTCTCTCCTAAAAATGCAGCCACAGATTATACACGACTTCTCATGGCCAGATACAGTACTCACGCACTCCTCCTCCATGCATCAGCCAAGTTTGCTCCACCAGCAACCATGCCACAAGCCCCAACACCCCAGTCACTCAACAGTCCTTTTTCCATCGACCAGTGGACAGTCATGGGCGCATATGCCAGGTTGGATGCGAGGTCTTTCCACCAAAGCCAGTTCTCCAGTTTCTGCGCTCTCATCCGCTCTTCCGCCTGGATCTTATCCTCTTTCTCCCCATCACCCTGACTCGCTAGTATTGATGGCGATGACGAAGAGTAATACCGTTGGACACCCAGACGCACAAGCTCAACGCCTACATATGCGGCCCAGAACCTCGAACTCCACAGCCACCATGTGTTCTCTCGTGCTTTACCCACATCTCCCGTCCAGCTCGCTGTCGTCAAAGCTCCTTTTGAGCTAAGATATGCGCCGTTTTCTAGGACTTGGAAACCAACACACGATGTTATAGCCGACCACGTCAACACCCTCAGTATCTTCTCTTTCCTGCTGGCACCTTGTGGTAATGGGTCCCGATAGGTGTCTCGGGCCCAGGTATACAGTCCCAGCACTCCCCACAGCCTCACAAATATCCTGAAGTCTGATATAACATCAGAAAGAGCTTTCGAACTTCCGACGACCTGGGCGATGACTTTTGTGCTGGTGGGGGCTGGGAGGGTGGCTATAAGGGTTTCGCCAGGGAGCAAGACACCCTCTGCTTTCTCGGCTATCTCTGTGGCTATAGACGCGAGACGTCGTTCAAGGACGCGGGAGAGGACGGAATGTACGAGAGTCAAGGTATAGGATGTTGTGCAGAGAAGGACGTCGGTGCCGTTTGGTGTAGAGAGGAGTTTTGCGAGGCGGACGAGCGTGCGGTCTGTGGTGCCGGCGGTTTTGGCGAGGTATTTTAGGAGAAGGAACTGCAATCTTCGCAGGAATGTAGGCTGTGAGGGTGGTGAGGGTGAAGGTATCGCATCGGGTTGTGGAGTCGGTTGGCTCGCAGCGGTGGAGGCAGGAATTGTGGTGGTGTTTGGGTGTGGGTCTTCCATTTCAAGGATATAAATATGTGGTAAGACACTTAGGGGAGGCTTGGAAGCGTGTGGGAAGGACAGTCGGTGCTATCGAGGCTGCATGGTGTTGGTATTGAGCTGTAGAAAATAAGTCACACACGCGTTTGGCCGAGGTGTGCTCGGGAAATGCTTATCGCGTCATCGGCCCGCACGTGGGTCTCACGTTGTCAACCCGTCTTCACATGCAGCATGTGATGATAGACCCTGTGAAATCACCAGTCGCTTCAAAGTATCCATTGCGTCTCGTGGATAGCCTTAGCGCATCTGTGCTGGACACCAGAAGCTATGCGCGCCGACGCATGCCATCGTTTGAGTTTCGTATAGAAAGCTTCGACTCGGTCCACGGCGCGCATCCCTGCCATCTTTACGTCTTCCCCATATCGTCCCCACACTTACCGCCTCACCTCTATCGCGGGGAGATACGAGAGCGGGCTCTCTTTTCACCTATATCAATTCATCCTGAGCGCGCAAAACACTGTTTCTCTAGCTCCCAGCTTCAAGCCGACATCATCAACCATGTCGTCGCCTACCCTCCCTACGCGCCGACCCACTTACCCTCTCGCTCATGCTTTTCGCCGTAAACCTCGACGTCTGCCTCTCGTTCTCCGCTTCTCGAAGGGCGCTATACACAACATAATCTTAATGCCAGTACTGCTTCATTCGCTCTTCACCGCCTTGATCGTCTACATCGATACGCGCTATGTAGACAGTATATCCATCCCTGCTACCATTATACCGTCGCTCTCCATCGTGGTTGGTCTAATGCTGGTCTTCAGAAATAGCACAGGCTACGACCGATTCTGGACCGGAAGAAACTGCCTCACGACAATCGGAACCTCCGTACGAAACCTTGCTCGAATCTGTCTGGTGAACTCGCGAGACAAAGACGGACATTCCACCGAAGAGGAGAGGAGAGACACAGAGAAGATAGTACGGGTCCTCGTAGCAGTTCTCTACTCCATCAAGCACAACCTGCGCGCAGAATTCAATATCCCACCTGCGAGTCTCGCTTCTTTGCCTCCACAACCAAGCGTCTACCCGCAACGCTCCCGCCCCGTATCCAGGCGCCCCAGCTACATCGACCGCACAGGTTCCAATTTCGGCACGGTTTCGTTCCCGCCTACTCTCGTAAACAGCACAAGTACCACACCTCTGCTCGGGTCATCCACCGCCACGCTAGAAAACGGCGATGGTACGACACCCATGAAGAAAGATGAATATGTATCACTTCTTCCAGAAGGCCTGATGGGCTACGAAGACCAAGGTCTCGGTTTACCCTTACAACTTACAATCCTCTTGGAAGGTTACATCCGCCGAGGCCACGACAGAGGCTGGTTCCACGCGCCCCTCTCCTCTCAAATGACCGTTCAGCTGAACACTCTCGTCTCCGCGTATGGCACCATGGAAACTATTCACAGCACGCCCATTCCCGTCGCGCATCTGATCCACCAAAAGCAGGTCCTGGCACTCTATGCTTGTGTTCTGCCGTTTGCCATTGTAGATGACTACAGGTGGTGGAGTGTACCTATTGTGGCTATCATCGCCTTCACACTCTACGGTATTGAGGGAATTGGCGTGCAACTGGAGGATCCATTTGGATATGATAAGAATGACATCAAGATGGACGGCATCATCGAAGATACGAGGCAGGAGGTTATGGTGCTGTTGGAGGAGTGGAGGGCGAGCCATGAGGGGAGGGCTATGGGGGGTATGTTCGAGTGTGAGTGATGATATGCTGACTGGGAATATTGGAACAGGTGATGTGTGATGTTAAGACGTTGAACCCATGTGTACATACGTAATGATCGTTATTGGCCTTTTGTGAGTTATGATCTGCAGTATTATAGCGTAGATACCCAATAGCACAACTACCAGAAGATTGCATGTTTCACGCGGACACGGACAGAGACACAGATGTTTAGTTGACTTTGGTACAATACATTAGTTACCAGTCTTCCACCACCTGTATATCTTGCTTACTCTTGAAGTATATCGCATTGCAACATGATCCACCATTCCATCATAACATTCGCTTTGATTACGCCAGAACTCCCGAAAAGATGCAAAAAGACCCCGAAACGAGGGAATAAGAGAAAGAGTTGGTCAAGGCACCTCGCCGCCCACTTAGCGATTGGCTAGTCGAAGCGTACAGGAGGTAGAGTCGGTGCACCGTTATTGCTTCGCGCTCCACTGCTATCGGAGTCGGTCGGAGATGTGTCGCGCATTCGACTGCCTGCTGCACGTCCAGCGCTACCATCGAGAACAAACGGCCCAGCGTCATTCCTTGGAGTCATGGGACCATCCTGTACGCGATCAGGCGTTAGGCCACTGCCGTGAGGAGGATGCAGAGGCGACAGTCCCATATAGTCGTTCGCTCCATTGACGTTGATAGAGACCGGTTGTGTGACGGACGATGTTGGAGGTGTAAGCTGGCGATCGGGAGTCTCCAATGCCGATTGGTTCTCAATGTTTGTGATTTGGTGATGTAGATCCGTAAGATCAACACCGCCATCAGAATCGGCACCGTTCAGAGGGGCAACAGAGGCACGAGGTGTGACGTGGCGGTCTCCCTGCTCTGCGCTGGCATCAGGAATTGTGGCACCATTGACTACTTCCTCATCGCCTTCCCAGTCTTCGAGCTCGCCCATGTCTTCTACGTCTTCTTCAAGGTCCGCTACCGCCCTACAGTTCGGGCAGAGGAAGTTGGGCCAAGTGGGACCGTTTAAGATGGGACGAATGCACTTGTAGTGCCAGACGTGGGAGCAGGGTGCTACGAATAGCGACTGACAAGGCTGTATACTGATCAGTACAAGTCGGCTGTGAAATCAGGCAAGACCTACCGCTATTGACATCAAACAGATGGCACACTCGGACGTATGCGTAGATGAAGCATCTCCCGTGACTTCCTTCTTGCTCTTGGCAAGTGCTCGTAGTCGCTGATGGGTTTGTTTACTGTGAGAGTCAATGGCAAGCTTATAGCACGAGTAAACAAGCTTACTTGAATGTGTTCAGCCCCTGTTGCCAGCCACGATTGCACTCAACACGAATCTTGACACATCTGAAGATCATCTCCTCTCCCCCACGGAAATCGATGCCCAGTTGGATGATATCGCCGTCCTTTATCCGGAATGGTTTTGACTCGACGTTGGGCTGACTTAGACGAATGTGATTCAAAAAGGTACCCGATGAGCTCTTGACGTCCTTGATATACCAGCTTCCGTCCTTGCACCACAGTTCGCAGTGCTTCCGACTGACGACCTTGGACTTGAATCCGATGGCGGCAGCCGATGGGGCGTTGGTCTGGACTTCAGGTATGTTGTCGCGCTCTGAATACCTTCCTACGCGAAGGATTGCACTCTCGTCGGGCAGCGTACGGTTGATGGTGGGGAAGATCAACGAAGGTCTTCCGGCTCGGGGATCCTGGTGCGGGATAAAGCGAATCGACGGCAGGTGCTTGGCTGCGCCTGTGCTATCGGAGGCGCCTTCCATTGTTTGTGCGCTGTTGGGTCCTGGCGTTGAGGTCGGCGTTGGCCCCGTGTTGTTGCGCACCTGGAGCTGAGGTTGGGCCGTCTCTGAACGGGTTCTCGTCATGGTCGGTTTCGGAGAGGCGGGTGGGGAGTCGGTCGGCGGCAGTTGACTGTCGGCTGTCTGGCTCCTCGATAGCAACTCTCGACGGGGGACAGTGGGGTGGGAGGACGAGGAGGCAAAGGCAGGCGAGGCAGGTGGAGTGTGTGTTGAGGCGCGTGGTCGTGTTCCCGTTCGGGAATCCTCACGTGGAGGGTCGCCTTGGCTGTTTGAGTGCAGGTGTAGATTGCGCAGGAAACTGATGCCTCTGTGAACGCCCGTGGGCCGTGGGGAGGTGGAATTGGGGGGTACAGCAGTCGCAGTTGGGAGAACTGGCGTGGTTGTTGTGGTGAACATCGCCTAGCGGCGCAGGGCGAGGGTATAAGCGTTCAGCTGGGGTATGGTATGCGGGAAAGTGTGAATGCGCGAGTTTCGACAGCGTTTGACAGACGACACGGGAAACCCGTTTACAAGAGCTCACACGGGTGGGTGTGTGAGGCACTGAGGCACTGAGGCAAATGCAGCAAATGCAAATGCAATGCAAATGGCGCACGAACGGGGCCAGGGCCGGGGGGCCAAGCAACCAGAACGAGCTCTGTGAGGAGTAAGCCACCTCTAGACTTGCGATGGGGTCTTCCAAGACCACGGGCCGTTAACGTATACGGGTAATAGGGTTCTAGAGTCGCGATAATGAAGTCATGTCTTGTTGGGCCTCTCGACCAAGATTCAAAGGTCATGTGGAACGGTCCGGCTTGATACCTACCCTCGGACAAGGCCGTCGACAGCTGCCAGAGATCCATGACATGATGGTCCACCGCACTCTTCTAACCCCCATGTCTGCATCACCACCGCAGTTGTCGGACTAAATATAGTTCCCCGCAGATATATCAAAGCATTGAAACCAACATGACAGTTCAGAGCTCATGCTGATGCGCTCATGCGCTGATCGCGGGGTGGGGCCGCTCTTGTTCCCGACCTCGTGGGAACGCCCACGTGACGCAATATTATGTCAGGGCCATGATTGCCAATGGAATTTTTCCGAACGCCGTCACGGCAGCATACACCACCAGAAATGTTAAGACCACACACGTACCGACCATTGTCCCGGGGACTGTCCAAGACGTCTGCGTCGCTCACACGATCAGCAGCATGCGCAGGTAGAAGGAATCTCGCCACGGCAGTTGCAGAAGAGAGGGTTAGCACTGAGTTCACGTAGCACGCCGAAGCCTTTCTAAACTGCCATCCAGGACCCCACCGAACTCGACCAGATCACCACCCTCCCCAATGGCATCCGCGTCGCTACCGAAGCCCTGCCGGGCCACTTCTCGGGTATCGGAGTCTATGTCGACGCCGGCTCACGATATGAGAACGATGCACTGCGCGGAGTCAGTCACATCATCGACCGTCTCGCCTTCAAGTCCACACGCTCCACCACCGGCGACCAGATGATGGAGAAGATAGAAACACTGGGCGGTAACATACAGTGCGCCTCCAGCCGAGAGTCGCTCATGTACCAGTCTGCCACCTTTAACTCCGCCGTGCCCACCACCGTCGGTGTCCTTGCAGAAACAATCCGCGATCCATTAGTCACCGAAGAGGAGATACAGCAACAGCTTGAGACAGCTGACTACGAGATTGGCGAGATCTGGAGCAAGCCAGAATTGATCCTGCCCGAACTAGTACACATGGCAGCTTTCAAAGACAACACCCTAGGCAACCCACTGCTATGTCCCAAGGAGCGCCTACCATTCATCAACCGCGCCGTCGTTGAAGCATACCGGAAGGAGTTCTACAAGCCTGACAGGATAGTGGTAGCCTTTGCTGGCGTAAACCACAACGAAGCCGTCCGCTTGACAGAACAATACTTTGGCGATATGGAGAAGGGCACCGGTCCATCGCTCATCAGTCTAGAATCAGAAAGCACAGCTTCCAACTCTGCACCCCAACAACAGGTCTTCACAGCCGACCACCCCACACCCACCGGCGCACCGCCGCAATCCTCAAAACTCCTTTCCAAGATACCCTTCTTCAAGAACATCTCCACATCCGCTACTTCCAACGCTTCAGTCAATACATCACTCGACTTGAACTTCCCACCGATCGACACATCACTACCGTCGCAATATACCGGTGGCTTCCTCACCTTACCTCCGATACCGCCACCGGCAAACCCTATGCTCCCACGCCTATCGCACATCCACCTCGCCTTCGAAGCCCTCCCCATCTCATCGCCCGACATCTACGCCCTCGCAACTCTGCAAACACTCCTCGGTGGAGGCGGTTCCTTCAGTGCAGGTGGGCCTGGAAAGGGAATGTACTCGCGGTTATACACCAACGTACTAAATCAGCACGGATGGGTAGAATCTTGCGTTGCATTCAACCACAGTTACACTGATAGCGGCCTCTTTGGCATCGCGTCATCATGTGCCCCCTCGCACGTCGCCCAAATGCTCGAGGTCATGTGCCGCGAACTCAAATCGCTAGGAGACGAAACCGGATACGCCGCGCTGAACGAGGTTGAAGTCCAGCGCGCAAAGAACCAACTCCGCTCCTCGCTCCTCATGAACCTCGAAAGCCGAATGGTAGAACTAGAAGATCTTGGCAGACAAGTCCAGGTTCACGGCCGTAAAGTCGGCGTCAAGGAAATGTGCAAAAAGATCGAGGACGTTTCCGTCAAAGACCTGAGGAGAGTAGCTCGTCACGTCTTTGGTGGACAAGTCAAGAATGTCGGAGGTGGATCTGGAGCCCCGACTGTTGTGCTGCAAGAGGGTGAACAGGAAGGCCTCAAAAGGAAGGAGTTTACCTGGGATGATATTCAGACCCGCATCGCTAGGTGGAAGCTTGGTCGCAGATAGGAAATTGCAACCCCTCTGAGCCGTTCGCTGGTGACGTGATTGTAAATGTAGCTTATGTATTATAGGGCTGGGAAAGAAATGATGAAATATCATGATTATGTAACATGGTTGGCAAGCGAGTGAGCCAGGCAAGCGAGTGAGCCACCCCACCAACTTTGCGCAACCTACGACCTCAAATCACTTATGGCTCTACCTACCCTAACTTAAAACGCCTCTCGTGAGGCTAATATAAACCTTGCAATCTTAGCTCTTAGTACAAGTCAAATTTAGACTAAGAGACGCGCTGCAGCGACGTTTGAAGTCTCTCGCGCTACCCTCCACCGCCGACGCGCTAGCAAACCCGCCCGACGTGATTGCCAGCCTAACTTAAAGAAGCTCACCCAGCTAGAGGAGCAGGTAATCGTTAGCTATATACTTGATCTAGATCTACGTGGATTTTCACCTACGTACACAGCTGTACGTGATATGGCTGATAAGCTGCTCGCTGCGCGCGGCGCAGGCTAGGTTGGACAGAAGTGGCTAGCTAACTTCGTTAAGCGTACAGACAGTCTCACGACGTGTTTTAACTGAGCGTACGATAGGCAGAGAGCTCTGTGCGAAGATCTAGTCCTAATTAGCGCCTAGTTTGAGCTCGTAGAGCAGACAAAGGCTAAGTACGGCATCTGCGATAATAACGTCTACAACTTTGACGAAGCTGGCTTTATAATAGGCAAGATTACGACTTAGCTTGTCGTGACAGCGTTAGAGAGAAGAGGTAGGCTAAAGGCTATCTAACCTAGTAATCGCGAGTGGGTAACGTTAATCGCTGCGATTAACGCTGCTGGCTGGTCAGTCCTACCATTCCTCATCTTTGCTGGCTAGTATCACCTGTCTGCTTGGTACGAGGAAGCAGAGATCCCACGCGACTAGGCGATCGCAGTCAGCGACAATAGCTGAACAACTAACAAGCTAGGAGTAGAGTGGCTAAAGCACTTTAACGCTTACACGAAGACTCGCATGGTTAGTGCGCGTCGCCTGCTCGTCCTTAACGGCCATGAGAGCTACTAATCCCTTGAGTTTTAAGAGCTCTGCAAGGAGAACAACATCTACACGCTCTGCATGTCGCCTAACTCATCTCACCTGCTTCAACCTCTTGACGTTAGCTGCTTCTCGCTGTTAAAGCGCGCGTACAGTCGTGAGGTGGAGAGCCTAATCTGCTACTACATTAACTACATCACTAAGCTCGAGTTTCTGCCAGCGTTTAAGACAGCGTTTGATTAAGCGTTCACGCCAGCTAATATCTGCTTAGCTTTTCGCGGCGCAGGCCTTGTTCCTCTCCAGCCAGACGCTGTCCTCTCGAAGCTAGACGTGCAGCTCCGTACGCCTACTCTAGCTGCTCTACTAGAGGCTCCCTGGGAGGCTTGTACGCTGAGCAACGTACGTGAACTTGAGGCTCAATCAACGTTGATACGTGATCGCGTGCGACGGCACAAGAGCTTATCACCAGCTTCGATTATTAAGGCGATTAACCAGCTTAAGAAGAGGGCTGAGGTGATGATGCTCTCAGCTGAGCTAATGCGCGATCGGATTGCCAGCCTTAAGAAGGCTAATAAGGCAGCGTCAGCACGTAAGCAACGGAAGAAAAAGCGTATACAGAAGCAGGGGACCTTAACAAAGAGAGAGGGAGAGGATATACTTGCTTAACGCGAGGTTGAGCAGCAGATTTCTCGTGAAGAGCGTCAAGGAGGAGCGCGATCAGGCCTTAGCCGCCAGGCTCTGGCGCGCTGCACAAGGTGCAGGGAGACTGGCCACAACTTACGTACGTGCAAGAAAGATACCTTAGATACTGCTTAGTATACTCTATTATTATCTATATATTATCTTGTAAGGTGGTTAAGATATACACGTGTAGAGGTGCGCAAAGTTGGTGGGGTGGCTCACTCGCTTGCCTGGCTCACTCGCTTGCCAACCATGTTATTAGTGGACCAAAGATAAGTGTCCGTAGCGTACGAGCCCCTTACTCAAGATACTCCATTACCATGTCCGGGGAGAGCTCCCCATTTCAGCTAAGGATACTATCCTACCCATCTCTGAATGCATCGGACAGGATGCGGGTATCAAAGGAAGAGCTACCACGTACAGATGCCATTACTCTCTTGCTCCCAATCTTCGTTACCAAATCGTGATCCTCTTTGAACGGGCATAGTTCGTCTGCTATCATCAAATCATGAAAACGCGTCTCATCCATCTTGTGGTTCGTCGTCCTTGCACACGTTCTGTCCAGAGTCTTCCGACCCGTGATTCTCACACCTGTGCCATGATGCTTTGCAATCCAATGTCCGCATGCTCTTTCACCTCTGCGGTTTTGACCATAGCCCCCATCTTCTGCGTAGCCGGAACACTGAGAGCGACAATGTCAACTGTGTGCGTCTCGACTGCTTGCTCTGTAATAGCGACCCCCTCGATTCTGATGTTCTCGCTCCCATCAGTTGTGAAAGAGGATGCTGAGAAATCAGAATCGGTGCCGTTGTTGTTTCCTGCTGATCCATCGTCGATCGCTGTGCTATCTGTAGCGACATCTTCGAATCCACCTGCATACGTCCCGTTTCTAAGTTCATTGCGCTCTTTCTCTTTTCTAACGCGGCGCAAGGCACCGAGATCGAATTCGCCGACGGTTGGAGAACTGGTGTTGTCACGAACTGTACCGGTTCGCGGGAGTGGAAGGGTAATGTTGGATCCTTCAGAGCTGGATTCCCGGCCTGGCCGGAAGATGCCCTGAACTGCTGACTTGAGACCTTGGGGTGTAAGGAGGCTGGGTGCACGAGAGAGAGAACGGGCTATGTCGATGGAAGAACGGCGTCCCATTCTGTAAAATCTACGACGAGGGCGGCGCTGTGCAGAGATCTCATCGATATCGGTTTGCGTGGTCTTGAATGTGATTTCACTGGAATCGGTAGTGTTGGATGACGCTGTGTGCGGAATGCCTGTAGACGTAGCAAAGGAATCTGAAGTGGGCAGCGTCGAGAGGGTGGTGTTTAGGGTCATGGAGGACTGAACCCTGGTGCCAATGGTACGCATAATCTGTGCAGATTTGACCGGGAGTTCTTCTACATCATCTTTTGTCAAGGGCGAGAAGTCCCCATTGACAACTGCTTGAAACGCGATGTACAGACGTTCTCGATAGTACGGGCGGCAGCTATGACAGGCTCTGAGAGCGCATGCTCGAGAATTCTTCGCGTCATTAGCATCGCCTAGTGGGGGCCTGCTACTTTCACTATTTGGATGATACTCACTGAATCTGTAACGGGCAGGCTACTGAAAGTTCCATCAATGCTGTACGTCGCTCCCGCCATAGCTGTAAGCCTAGCCACGACATCACTGGCTTCGGTGGCCTGACGCGTGTCCGATATGACCTGCTTCAGCTCTAGCTTGAGTTCCTTGAGCTTCTTCAGTTGCGTGGCCGTGTAGTGGCCGCTCTCCGCATTACGAATGATGCTCTCGCCCAATCCAATCCTCTCCAGCTCCTGTCGCAGTGTCGACTTGACCGGCTCGATTCTTCCATGCTCTTTTGATAGTATGGTGCGAAGCGTTGTGATTTTATGATCCTGTCTGCATTCGTAGAGGAACCCGATGGAAGGTGAGCGCCCACAAATGCTGCAGTGCTGATCGTGGCCGAAGACGCGATCCATATCTAGGTGGGTACAGTTTGGAACTCGCATGGGTTTCCCCATGGCGGCGTGGTGTTTGGTATTTCCAGCAGGCCCAAGGGTACTGGGATCGACTGTTGCTAGGACAGGGCGAGCACGCGACAAAGAATCTAGAGGGAGGAAGAGAGCGAAAGGTGTAAGAGTGTAAGGGCGTGGTGCAGGGTTGATGTTGCTGTTCTGAGACAACGACAATGATGGCACCTAGGTAGGCAAGTGCACACACGCTTAGCCTGTGAGAGCAAGTGAAGGCGTGGAAGGAACAACGTAGAAACTCGAGGCAGTGGCAAGACGAGTACTCTAGTGAGTTTCGGTATGTCTCCAACAAACGAGAGATTCACGAGTAGAGGCGAGGGGAAAGAGAAGTCGGACCCAATTAAGACCTCGAGGAGGGTCAGTCTACAAAAAGGGTTTGTCACCTGTCGGACAATGCGGATTCTGGCAGCTTTGCACGTTGCGAGTTTGGTCTGGCCGCGTGATTAAAAATTACCAGTACTCGAGGCCTTCTGACGGTCTCTGCACATGTCTCGACTGTTTGTTGTTGTCTTGGGATACAAACGACGAAATGAACAAGAACGCTTTGACGACGCTTTGGAACAAGACAAAGGAAAAACAGACAGAAGGAGGAAATGACATGCGAGGCAATTTCAAGCCGACGTAAACAGCAAGATGGAAGTGTACCATGTATAGGGGGACGATTGCGTGTAGTTGCATGTGGTGAGGAAGTTGAAGTAGTACACACAAATGTGTCTAACTCCATCCTGTGACACGTCAAGCTGTCGCAGTGAGCAGACGAATGATTATCATAATATCAGTACCATTGAGAGATTGTTTGATGTCTCGTTGAAGCGGTGCATACTCAATGCAAGTCCATCCGTATCGGAGAGGCTGGGGATGTAGTCGGCGTGAGACGATGTCAAGATCACCAGGCGATAAGAGGTCGATAGAAGTGACTTCAGGATCGCGCTTGTCAGAGTAAGGATACCCTGCCGTGACGACGCTATCAACCTTGTGCATGACTGTACTCGCCATCGCCCACGAGAATCACAATCTTGGTTGGGGAAAGAGCCGGTAATGGGCCGTGTGAGCGCTGGAGCGAGTCTCAAGGTGGCTCGGTGCAAGCAACCACAGGCGGCGAGTCCCGACGCGCTCTTATCCGCTGGCAAAAAGCATCAGGGCGAACAGGTACGCAGTTTCCAATGCAGTGCAGGTGTCTCGCATAGCACCACCGTACGCAAAGAGTCTGTAGAGACAGCAGGCTGGACAGCAAGAGGTTTAATCATCCAACCGAGGTCGTTGTTGTTGTCAGATCACGACACCTGCTTCCGCGTCTTGTCGGCGCTAAAGCTTGGACCCGAGGTGTTTACCTCCCCAGCCATCCGTCGCCGTCCAGCTCGTCGACACCCGCACTCCCCCACAAACATCTCGTCGACTGCAGCATCATCTTCTACACGCGCCCATCTGCCGTTTGCTGCTGTCGCATCGCATTGAGGCGCCATGTCGGTCAAATTCGAGAAGGAGACGACGACCAAGACAACAGCCGCTGTTGCCGACGCTCTGGAAGGAAAGGATGGAGTGATGCACAATCTCGGGCAGGCTCTGACCAAAGGCGGCGGTCCCAATGGATACCTCGCTGTGAGTGTGGTGCGATTCAAACATGTGATGAGCCAATTCACTGACTGTGGGCGCGTCAGGCATACCTCAAGCAGCTGCAGAGCAACCCGTTGCGCACCAAGATGCTGACTTCAGGTACTCTGTCTGGTCTCCAAGAGTTCCTGGCCTCGTGGATCGCCCACGACAGGAGCAAGTCGGGTCATTACTTCACCTCGCGTGTCCCCAAGATGGCCATCTACGGTGCCTTGATCAGCGCGCCCCTTGGACACGTCTTGATTAGCGCCCTCCAGAAGGTCTTCCAGGGGCGCAAGAGCTTGAAGGCAAAGATCTTGCAGATTCTCTTCAGCAACTTGCTTGTAAGTCCAAGCGCGGTCGGCCGTTGTACGTCAGCGCGTCGCTAACGAATGCAGATCTCGCCCATCCAGAACAGTGTGTACCTCGTCTCCATGGCCCTCATCGCAGGCGCTCGCACCTTCCACCAAGTCAAGGCGACAGTCAAGGCTGGCTTCTGGCCTGTCATGAAGGTCAGCTGGATCGTCTCGCCCATCTCTTTGGCATTCGCCCAGCAGTTCCTGCCTGAGACCACCTGGGTGCCCTTCTTCAACATTGTCGGTTTCATCATCGGCACATACATCAACGCGCATACCAAGAAGAAGAGGTTAGCTGCTCTCAGACGAAAGCACTACGGTGACGGCAGCGGCAGGAGTCAGGGTCCGGGTTCGCGCCCTAGTTCGCGCCCTGGCTCGCGTCCCGGCTCCGTCAGTGGAAGGCCTGTCGACGAGTATGGCCGTCCCGACGACCGCCCACGCTACTAAATGACAGGCCTGGTAATGACAGCGCGATTGTCCGGAGTCCTGTTCGCTGTTATATACCGATCGACCGTAGGAACCCCAACGGTCAGAATGAGGCATCACCCGTCTTTGCTCATGTGTTACGACAAACTCGGGGAACGAGATTCGGCTACCAGTCAGGCGCTTCACCATCTAGTGCGCTTTCATGTTCGGTCCCCTTTACGTGCTTTGTATATCCCATCTGTTTTTCTGTTAAATCACTGGAACCGCGACTGGCGTTCGTTGCGGTTACCACCAAATATACACTATTACTTCCACCTACTATTCGACCGCTCCCACCTGTATTATGTCGCCATCACGTCTAACCTATACAAAAACACATCTCCGTTGGTACTGACATTCGTTAGGCTGAGCGAAGAGGCGGCGTTGGAAGCCGTCCGCCTATCAGAACCTCAACTTCTGTCCCAGCATCCGCGCTGTGCAGCCATGTATTACATTTGCCTACCTAGTACCACGCGAAGTTGACCCTACGGACGTGGTACAGAGTCGTTGTGCCAAAGAAGGACTCTGAAGTGTTGAGTGTCGATCTAATGTTGCCCCAATAGGATTATGCCGATGAACCGCGGGCCCATGCTCGCGGATTGTCCACGACAAACAATACGTGATAGCCCATGTGTTACGCTAGGGTCGGTGATCATTCGTGCTGAATACGAAGACTCCGAAAGAAGATGCTGTGAACGACTATGCCACGCCACATACCAGCAGCGGTGCTCCCGCCTTACTCAACTATAAGAGAAGGACGGATTCAACCTGGCGCAGAGGTCCACTAACTCATGACGCTTTTGACGCTCTGCCAAGACGATCAGCCATACACGCAACCCATTCTGGTCAATCATATGACTCTCGATTCTGCTGATCAACTTGCGTTGTTACCATACGGTGATCGCCTCTTCGGTGGAGCAGGGCTTGCTCGATCCAGATCTTACCCCTCCGATTCAGAGCCAGATCTTTACGTCCCCTTCGAGTCTTATGACTACCGGCGTCCGCTATCGAGCGTTGCTGTGCGACTTCAGGATCCCTTCCTGAAGTGCGAGAGAGATCTTGGATGGAACATCGACTGGGCAGTTGCTTTCGTCGTTGACCGACTGGAACAGAGCTGGGCTGATACAGCTGATCAATTCAAGAGCATCAGGATACGGGCTGCAAGTCTCGAGAGGGACGGACTAATCCAGGAGATCCCATATCGTATCTTCAACAAGCTGGACGAAGTATTCTTTGCCGGCCATTTGAAGAACGCTGTCTTTCTCGATATCGGAAGCCTGGGCTCTGATGTCTCGGGAGCTACCTACGCCCACAGACTGGGACCGAATCCTGATGTCAAGCGCATCTCAATCGTCCTAAACGTTGACGCGCTCGAGTACGCCGACGCGAAAGACACTATTGCGATTCTGATTCACCACATGATACACGCATACTTCCTCGTTGCTTGTGGTGGTCAGAAAGAAGATGAGGTGGACTACGGACGGTTGAATCACGACGTGCATTTCGGAAAGATTATGCTTACTGTCAAGAAGCTCTCAGCTGTACACGGTAGAGAGTTGTCGCCACTGAACTATGGGCACAGCTTGTTCGACGTCCGCTACGTCGAGGATGGCTATCACAGTCCACGAAGAAAAGAATCAATTGAGCGTGAAGATCGAGAGCAGTGGAATTGCAGTCACTGCCATAGCGATATGCAGGGGCCGTCCGAAAGCGAAGTGCATAAGTGGTACGGGAAGGTTTGTAAGCCTTTGTTCAACCAACCTAAGTGTGCGCGAGAGCTAGGAGTTCAGACATATAACGATCGGTGCCATGAGCTCGAGACCAGACGCCGCGCACGTCTCAGACCGACTGCTAAGTCGGTCGAGTTCGTGTTCAAAGACAGGCCTGTCCTCTTCGATGCAGACAAGTTGGAAGGCTTTCTAAGTGTTGCACGAGCTTTTGACAGAGTAGGTAGCCGCTTTCTCACGATGCACAAGGAGGTATCGGAGGACACTTTCGTCCGCTTATTGGAGTTTCTTCATACCGGCTCCTACCGTCCTGACCCACGCCCATTCACTGCTGCTGCTGCCGGGTTAGGCATCGCGCGTCGAGGGTCACCGATCATCAAACCTCAATCAACAACTACTGACGCTTGTGTCCTCGTCGATGTGCAATTTGCCAAGCTTGGCACATTGATGGGCTTCGACGACTGCAAGAGCTATGCGTTGGATAGGATGAACGCCTATGGCATACTCAACGAAGATCCTGTCGCCATCCTTAAAGAGATCTACCAGGGGTATGAGCCTGATTCGGACCTCAAGGACTGGGCACGCAAGTTCCTCGTCAGAGCACCAAGTACTTCAAATCCAGAGTGCTGCACTACAGCGATTAGTGTCACCACCGTAGAGCCACCGAATCTTATCAAGCTCGAGAGTGAACAGAGCTCGCACCGCGCACGCTTTCTCGACGCCGTTGACGCAAGTGGAGCATTAGAGAACGATGTCAACAAAGCTCGTGCTGAGCTCAAAGCTGCTGGTTGGTACAACTGGTCATCACTTCTGCCTCATGACGCGCCTAGGCTCCTCACCAACCGTTCTACGAGCTACCCGACCCATTCACTGGCACTTGGTTATCGCTCGTCTACTTCATTCCCCTGGTCCAGCGTCCACGACCTCACAGACCAACTTTCCTCGCTGGATATCGAGCGCCTGCGAAACTTGGAGCGTGAGAAAGCTCGCGACCGTGAACGAGAAGAGAAGTTGAGAGATTATGAGCGAGCCAAGTACAGTGACATCGAGCGTGATCAACTTAGGAAATTGCGTCGAGAGAAGGAGCGCGAGCTGGAGAGGGAGAAAGAGAAGCTGAGGAGGTTGGAAATGGAAAAAGAGAAGGTCAAAGAGGCGCATGCGCAGTTGCAGGCTAGCGCTGCGATTGAAGCGCTTTTTGGGCGGCGTGGGCATGGATTTGTAGAGGACTATGGGTATGAGTAGACTGATGATAGACGCTTGTCGGAGGAAGGCTAGGGTGTTGATGTTAATGTGATGTACTACAACGCCGATTGAGTTTTGGCATATCCTTCTGAGACCGCGAACATTGCATCTACAACATGTCCACATATTCGGTCTATCCATTTTGTTCTCATCAAGCACTCGTTTTTGCTCGACTGAAGTTTGCTGTCAAGTTCCGACTAACTGCGCCTTCTCAAAGCCAGCGATGAGACCTGGACCAGATTATTCGTACAACTGATATCTATTGCCCTTAGTCCTATGGTATACATAACCCTGCTGCCTATGCTCATGTATACTATCAATCGTTGAATAGACCCCTCGCTCACTACTGCCTCCCCCACCGCTATGAGCTCGTATCGAATTGGATCATCTGGATCGCCAGAGATTGCAGTGAGAAGTTAGATACTCTTTCTGGTGCAATCTAGCTGCCTGTAGCTCAAGGGCACCATACTACTCCATGATCTCTTGTGTGAGAGTGCCGTGGAATAGTACTTAACCTGTAGTTTCGTTGCTGATCATCGCCTCGCGATGGAAACCCAAGTCCGATAGGGCTGTCGAATTCAGAGGACGTACACATCGGAGAGACAGGATATCTGTGAGATGAGAGTGGACACACTGGTAGGTTGGGCTAACAACTCGCTGGTTGGCTTTCCTGAAGGTGTCGTCACACAACACATCCTGGGCGGTGGCTGAGCTTTCAGGCCTGTCAGATGCATGCTCGTGCTTGACTCCACGGGTTACCGGCAATTGGGAGCGTATAGAGAGAATGGGGGTAGAATAAGACAGCATACGCATGTAAATGGCTTGCGACTGTATCGCACGCCAGGAAAGAAGCCGTTACTGGCATTAAACACGGAAGTGCCCCGCAACCCCGCACAGCATCCACGTATGTATATACCGAGACTGATCGCGAATAACGCACATTGGTCTTTTCTTAGAACAATCGATGTATAAGTCTTTCGTGTATAATTGTTAGCATCAATCGGTCCACTCCAAAAGCACTCAAACCTCACTATACACTTTTCAAACACCATGGCCACCAGTCAAGAGATCAACAATGCGCGTTTCAGTAAGGAGGCTCTGGAATGGGATTCAAACCAAAAGCATGTGGAATCGACTTCAAAAGCACTTGAAGCCATCAAGCGCTACGTACCTGCGTTCAAAGATGGTCGTAACAAAGGTATAAACAGCCCATCTACCACTAGTCGAGGACTAACAAGCATCACAGAACTCGACGTGCTAGAAATCGGTTGCGGCACTGGCCTGCTATCCTTTATGCTAGCTCCGCACGTACGCAGCCTTATCGGCGTCGACACAGCAGACGGCATGATAAGTGCCTTCAACACTAAGCTGGCGGATCTTCCAACAGATCACCCGAACCTGTGTTCAATAAACCACTTCCTAACGAACCCAGACTCGCATGAATTGCAAAGCGCAGCAGCACTCCTTGCCACGCATCGAGGGGAAGCCACATCACCGCCCTACTCGTACCGATTTGATCTCGTGGTTTCTCATTTGACCCTGCATCACATTCCTTCGATGGCGGAGATTCTAGAGACGATGAAGAAATGTTTGAAGCCAGGGGGTGTTGTTGCGTTGACAGATTATGAAGACTTTGGGCCGGAAGCTGTGCCGTTTCACCCGGTGAGTAAGAGGCCAGGAGTCGAGAGACACGGAATCAAGAAGAGCGAGATGGAGGATTTGTTATTAGGGACAGGATTCAATGAGATTAGGGTCGACGAAGCCTTCGTTCTGCGAAAAGAAGTTGATGCTGAGGATGGGAAGCCGGTAAGAGAGATGGATTTCCCGTTTTTGCTGTGTTTCGGCGTAAAGAGCTGAAATACTCGGTCGTATGTAGACGTTCACGAATACTGTTCTGTGGCGTCTGCGAATGATTCGGAGTAGCGGCAATCAATAATCCTTTAGCAGATCGTTCACTGCTTTCGCAGCGAAACGTTTTCGCTCGGCCTCTTCCATGCCCTCGCCCATCTCCTTGATAGCAACCATTTTCTGCATCATCACCTCCAGCTCTTCAACCTCTTTGTCCCCTGATCCCTGACCTTCATCGTCGTCAAACCCAGCCAGCGCACCTTTCATGCCAAACAGCTCCATGTTCATCTCCGCCTCTTCTGCTGCAAAACTGCCTTCGAAGCCGTCTTCGTCGCCGCCCATGTCCAGATCTGCCATGCTCTCCCATTCCCCAGCCTCGAGCGCTTCCCGAACTCGGTGTACCCCTGTCGCCTCTCCAAACTCGTTTTTCCCCTTCTTCTCAGAGTCGACGTATTCAAAACCATAGTCCATGGCGAGCTCTTCCCATTCTTCATGACTCTTCTCAAGGTAGGGCGTGATGGATTGCGGCATCGCAACAGCCAGACACACCATGTCGCCGCCGTAGCCACATGCGCGCTCGATAACATCGGATACGGCCTGCATGGTCTCTTTGATCACATCTAGATCCTTTATTTCGACTGGCTTCTTAAAGCAGTATATCCATGCACCGAGCGCGGTGACGACTTCGCGAGCTTCGGGCTTGGTGAATTCGGTGCGCCATTCCGCGACGTTGGCGAGCTCATCGATCCAAATAGGAAGGGTTGCAGTGTAGTATTTGGTTTCCAGACGCCATTCGTGCGTAAGGCCGGCAGTGGTTTCGGACGTTGGTTCGGGGGCGGAACCGGTGAGCTCTAGGCAGAGTCAGTGAATGCGCGCCATGTGGGAAAACAAGTTACCTTTCAGCAGTGGAAGTACACCTGCCTCGGGCGCGCCAATGGCAAGAATACGCCGTGGGTTCTTGATGTCCATGTTGTGTCGGTGGAAAAAGTGTCTAGTTGCGGAGTTCTCGGGGGTCTCGCCATTCAACGTGGGGTAGATGCCTGCGAATATCAAGAACGTTCGCGACTACGCCTGGCTGTATTGTGGTCCTTCGTATGCCGCCGAGCAAGTTTAGATAACACAAGGTATCTTCGACAATGTAAAAAATTGTGCATTCATCCCATTCAAAGGTATCATCAATTTTGGAGCTATCCCAGTTCTCAGCGTATGTCCAGCAAAATGCGATCTGGTTGCATACCTGTCCTTGCCTCCATTGTCTATTTCCCGCAGCCGAGGGCGCGCGTCCTCGCTGGTGTCGCGCTTCTCGTAACTTGCTCTCTGCTTATGTCGTCTTTCCGCTGCCATTTCTCAACTCGTTCAACGACCACCGCCGCCACGAGTGCTAGCCCTTGCCCTGTTGACTGTTGCCCGACCACGCGCAAGACCGACACCGCGACCCCTTGTGCCTCTCGATCGGAACATGGGGGCGTTCCTATATTCTGTTAGCGCCTTTCTTGTTCGACGGGTATAACACATCATACCTCAACATGTCGGGAACAATGAAGTACCGCACGTGGCTTCCCCTGATGTACACTTGTTCGAGATGTGAGACGCGACCGTCGCGAGCGGTGACAGTGATGTCCTTCAGCTGTACGTTCATGTTGTCCTCGGCTACTGTCTGTTAGCAGGAATGTAAGGGGCTGGGAGACGAGTCCAGTGCGTACCTTCGATTAGCTTGCCACGGTAGACTTCACCCGATGTGATCTCAAGCGTGACAATGTGACCCTGCGTTCTATTAGCGCAGGTTCAGAGACCAGTATCCAGCGGTGAACGTACTGCTGCCTCGTTGAGGAGCTTGATAGGGATACCGATAGTGCTCGTCATTTTTTCTGTGTAGACTCTGAACCAATATGTCGAGTATGTCTAGCTCGGTCTCGCGGTGGGACGTTCGTGTAGGTTGCGAGAAATAGGGCTTCGTGCCGTAGGCGCAAATCGCACTCGTTGCGCGGATCTTCTCCAAAGAGTTATTTGCCTGTGTTCGTTACGTAGTGGTTGTCGACAACAGAAAAGAGCGCAAAGTTGGGCGTCGTGGTTGCGAAGCGCGTGCGCGATGCTAATATCACTGTCTACAGAAAGTTGAGGTTGAGCTCGGACCAAATCTTAGTCATCATGCCCTGTCTCCCATACTATACTCAATGTTCCCTTATCTTTGATCATCAGAATCACGACCAACATCTAGGCGTCACTGAACCCTTCTCATAATAGCATTTGTTAACTTCTATACGAAAGTGTGCATGGATATTGCTTATGCCACACGTTGCGTTCATCTCAATGGTACATCACTGTGATATTATTTTGTCTCAGCGAAACCCATGAGCATTTCCGATGTGAGAAGATTGTAGTTTATAAATCCACTTGAAGCACATGCAGGTAACAGCCAAAGTCTACGGATGCTCGGTCTCTGTTGTTGGCGTGTCGCAAAGTTCGGAACAAGATCGGAATCATCGGAAAGAACATCTTTCGAAAAGCGTCGCGCCACAAACGCGTCACCACTCAGTCCCGCCCCTGCAACCACGTCGACTAACATTCCCAATGAATATCTCGGGTACCCTAAACGTCTTCCGGCTACTGAGAGATCCAACTCTGTGCTTGCCTCAACATACTGTCTCAACATTTAATCATCTCCCCATTCCTTTGTCCAAAGCTTTCAGAAAAGATGGGGTTGCTGGGCAGAAAGAGGTAGACATTCAAGCTGTAGTACTTGACAAAGACAACTGCTTTGCTGTGCCACATACCGATGAGATTCACAAACCATATGAAGTACTGATACACGTATCACCTCGCTCAGAACTTCGTTGACCACCTTCATAGGACCATTTCCAGCGCCTTCGACACGCTTATCCGGGTACGAAACTTCTAATAGTCTCCAACACGGCTGGAACGTCTTCAGATAAGGACTATGCTCAAGCTGCTGTCTTGGAGGCCAATACCGGGGTCAAAGTTTTGCGACACTCCACCAAGAAGCCTGGCTGTGAGGAAGAGGTCATGGCTTACTTCAGGGCACATCCAGATTCTGGCGTAACTAGGCCGGACCAAATCGCTATTGTAGGTGATCGCTTGTCCACGGACATCATGATGGCAAACATGATGGGTGGATATGGATTGTGGATCAGAGATGGAGTGCAGGGACGGGGATTTGTAAGTGCTTCCGCTCGGAGAGAACATCGTGGAGAGTGGCTTCACAGAATCGCATGTGAAACCTTTGAGGCTAACGAAATCACAGTTTGCGAGAGTTGAAGACAGGCTACAGAACTTCCTCTTCCGAAGAGGTTATGCTGCGCCTGATCCTAGCCGAAATCAATTTGAGTAGTACATCAAATGGATTGGTCGACCTTAAGCTGAAGACATTGATATCTGCTTCTTTGGAAGACAATCCACTCTGGACGGCAAGTCACTGTCTCGTCTGCTACAAGTTGTACTGAAACCATGTTTGTTCTGTATCTCTACGAGATAGTCATTTTAATCTAATGACATGTCCAAAACTTCGATCTACTTCTGATCCATGACACGCATACATTTTCAGAGCTTTGCTGTAATGTGGAAGCCCAAGGTACGATTGGCGGGCTCTGCCCCTCTAAGTGACGCGCTTTATAACAACAACCACTAAACGATGTTGTAAGGAGCATCCTTTAATAGGCTTCGTCAACCGTTAACTATTGGATGCATAGCCGATCGTAAAGATGCAAGACTACGGTTAATGTCAACATCCCTGTACGCTCGGCTTCGAGATAATTCTATAATCGCAGACCTTCCATCCCTAGATCTCTCTGTCAACGCCAAAACTCAACGTAGGCAACTAGACAATCCAAATTCGAGACCATCTATCACAATGTCTACCTCGCTCCAACAAGCTTGCCACATAGGGTCGTGGCTGCTTGTCACTAATTCGCCTCCATCAAGCTGCGCCGCATAGTAGCATAAACGACATTACACATACTGCGTCCCCCTCCCTTCCAAAGAAGTTTAGCCTGCAGGTAATATGATCTGGTAGATGGCTGTGACGTGGCTAGCAATCAATATACCTGGACGACCCACATGAAAGGATATGTTCAAAGAGGAGCAAATTACTATGAAAACAGCTCTTCTTCACCTTCAATAGCTCTACTCCATACTCACTCACCCTCCGAGCACATAACAACTCTTTCATCAATCCGAAGTACCTGACACAAGCTACCTACTCCTATCAGTCCTCATCAAGTATGTAACAGTACTGAAATGTTCCCTTTAGTCCAAACTGAGATATACAAATACATCTACTCACCTCTCCGATCGCTGACTTCCACTCGAAGTATACAGTCAACACCATGGTCATCTACTCCACGATTCTCGGCGCAATCATCGGCTCTGGCGTCCTCACAGCACCAGCACTTGGCGCACCAGCAGCCCTCACGCCAGCATCTGTTCCAGCGGCAGCTGGCGCAAGACTCGGCGGTATAGACATGAACCGGGCCTGCCGCGACCAGTATGGCATGGGTTACCCCGCTGGCACGATTGGAAATTCATGCAATGACTGGCAATGCATATTGTATAACACGAATTTTGGTGATTTGTACTATCCTGTCGATACTCCTGCAGCATGTAAGAGGCAGTATGGAAACAATGTGTATGCTTGGTGCCAAGGCGGATGGGACAAGTGGTCTTGCTATAGGACATAGACGGACATGAGATCAACACCCAATTTGAGAAGCAAAGCCCTCTTATCGTGCTTGATTGATACGTCGCTTTCGAGTTGATACTTTCACGTATTACTGCTCCATGAAACATATTTAGTAAGGACTTTGGAAGTCTGCAAAGCCTGCCGGATATCTCAGGACGTGCGTCCTAACACCACGTTGGGCATCTATGTTTAGCGAGCCTTCTTGCTCTTCTCTACTTCATTTCTTTCTTTTTGCATGTCCATTGAGTTTATCGAATTCAAAGGACGCAACCGTAAGCAAAAGTCTTCCACGATACGCAGTCCAATAGTTGAGAAATACGTGCCACAATGGGATGCTAGTGGGTCAACATCTAGGCCATTCATTTGAACTTGTTCAAGCAGATACATGAAACCGACTATCGCGGAGTCAAGCGCGAGGATGTCCACTGCTTGACTAATAGATGCTGCTTAGGTGATGTAAGGATAAGTGATTTCTTGACGAGACGATAGATTAGGGTATCGACAATTAGGTTCGTACGTGGAGTGAATTGTTTATGTAGAAGTGCGTAATCAAATATAAATGGATTGTGTTGAGAACAGCCCATATCGGATCTCTGGATCTAATCATCACAACAGTCAGCACATGTAAGGATGGAAAGTCACGCCTCAACAAGGTGATTGTAGCCATTTCAGTACCTGGTAAAACAGTGATTATGGTCGCCATTCGTCAATGATTCGTTGCGCCACAGGGGATGCAGATAAGTTTCGGTAGTTCCACAAGACCTTTGGTAGTAAGATTTGTCCAGCTAAGATAGGAGTTACACAAAAGACTTTATCGATCGATCTTATGGCTTTTAAGACCTCTCCGGCATAATGTTTCTGCTTCTGCTAATCATAGAATAGTTTATGTGTGGCGGACGGTATAGTAGCACCTACGTGATGTCAATATAACCCCTTCAACAGCAACAGCCTCTAGACATACTATCTCGTCCTTCGACTGTTATCTCTCTACTGCTGTCTCTTTAGCATCAACATTCTGCGCCTCGCTCTCCTCTTTGTCGCCCACTTTCTGCTCGGCCTCGACCATCGGTTCCTTGTCGCCCACTTCCTCTTCATCGCTCATGTCTTCGTCGCCCATGTCCTCATAACCCACGTCTCCGTCGCTCATATCCTCTGACCACGTCTCTTCTTTTACCTCTGCGATCTCGCGATCCCCTCCCACCCCGGTGTATACTGCTATCGGATGAAGCGCATCTGCCTCAAGATCAGGGGCGTCCTTAGGTCGCTTATCGTCTTCGAATAAGATTTGCCTAAACGTATGCAATTTAGTTCCTTTCTTCGAATTGTATAGAGCATACCTAGGTACTCACTTTGCTTCTTCCAAACACTTATGAAGATCATCTAGCGACTTGGTTATACCCGGATTTGTTTCGTCATGATGCCATTGCTTCGCAATACGCCAGATGGTTTCAGCCTTGATGTAACAGGATTATCCCTCATGCCAATCTTCTAGAGTACATGCAAGAATTGTGAGGCATCTTATGCGGTGGTATCTAGGAATAGTGTAATCGGCGAGTAAGTTGCGCAATGCCTTAACACAATCATCGATTTCGTGTTGTTCGTGGAGCTCAACAGCAGCGTTGAAGCACATGCTAAACTGGCAACCGATTTCTTCCATAGTGACTGTTTAGAATGTGTATAGGGTTGATGTGGGTGCGAGAGAGAGAGAGACCGTTTCGGAGGCTTGCGAAGTGTTGGGTAGCGTAGCGATCCACAGATACCGGTATCTCTAGCTGCACGTGACAAAAAAATGTGCAAGGGATTCTTCGGTGTGTATGTCATTCCGTGACAATCGACATTGTATTTATGGTGGGCCAGTCAGACGGTTAGCATACGTCACAAGGCGATCCTCACCCAATAGACAAATCTAACGCGTTTGCTCACTTGTGCGGCATGAAACATCTAGATGTATCGCATGCATCCAACAGCATTTGCACATCACTACGATAGCAATCATGCTTTTACTGTTATATGATGAGGCATGTTTCCTTGATTTATCAAGTTTAATCGTCATACGTGAGGTCTCTTCGTCCACCGAATTCTCCTTCGCCTCAGTCCTGTCTCATTTCCGACCATTGGGCGTTCTCAATTTGGGCGTCGACATTGCCGCCTGCTAACCCTTTGCTACCTTTACTACTGCTAGTTTTGTAGAATGACGCAATGTATATATATGTGCCTGATTGCAGTCCAGTGTTTGGAAGGAACACCGCGCCAAGCAAATTTACCTAGGTAGTCACTGCAAACATCCGCGGATTACACCAACTCTGCTAATAGAACTCTCCACTCCGAACACCGACTCTGTCTCTCTGCGTATACCAGCAGCAAGTTGACTGTTTCAGAGCGCGATCACCAACAATATGCCACCGAAGGCGGTTCAGACTCCGGCTCCGTTGACGGACACTGGCGACAAAAATCCAGGCCGGCCTGCTAACAAAGCAAAGCAAAACCCACCTCCAAGGATGAGAAAGGACTACGAGCCAAGAGGTTGAAGAGTGCCGTCCAGCCCATTCAACCTTTGTCATCTGATCTGACCAATCGCGTTTTGGGACCATCATCGCATCTTGATCTGAGCAATCTTGGTATCATAATCGACTAGACAACGGAAGACACCTCCCTTTTCGTGGACGTGTTCAAGAACAAAGGTTTGAAGCTTGAGGATACTGCGCGCAAATCCCCATACGTTCTACCTACGATTTGTAAGTGCATCAGGACATCGAAAGGCCACACCAGGGACTCGCAAATGGAACAACAAATGCTGACAACATTACAGTTCACGTACGAGGCAGTAACGCCTTGTCTAGAATCAAGAAATTCCCAGGTTCTTCGTCTTCCTATCACCACAACTCAGCTTGGTCAATCAAACAAGTTGCCTACCTGGGATTATCACTTGTGTTACTCAAGTAGCTTGGTATATCTTGTTGAGAGAGATGATGTCGATATCTAGGCCTAGGCAGATTGTACGACTCAAGCCATCACGCGCATGGATTGACTAGTAGACTGCGGGCGTGGTAAGAATGCACATGCGATTCTTACTGTTATCTGGCTCGATTGTGGCGCAGTAGAATCGTTGACCGGCTTTTCACATACCTTGAAGATACTTGGTCGGTACCTATACGGTTGCCTGGTTGTGCCCCGCTCGTTCGTGGCGCTATACCCTGCAAACGCAGAACGCATTACCGGTTTTGCGACAACACGCTTAACACAGCCACGAGCGTTTCCACAATTCATAACAAACACGCGGTACGCAAATGAATCATAGCTAGGTGGCTTGGACCAATGGGGACGCGATAAGGTCATCAGGCGGTGCAGCGGGGCTGGGCTGAGCTTCACAGCTTACTTGTCATCTTTCGGGAGCTCCTTGTTCCAACGAACAGCGCAAGGCATACATTAAACCCATCTGACCGGCCCTTTCTCTACACTCCAACTCTATCTCAAGAATCAGCCTTGTCCGTTTTCTTGAATAATCGATCTACTACTACAACCTCCACACACAAACAGTAAGATGGGTGTACGTTGCGGTCAGCTCCTTGGCTGCCCCTCCATGCCCCGCTGCGTCATAATTGGGCTGACATGTCTGAAATAGCTCGCATCGAAAATGCAAGCGATGAACGCTGCTTCTGGTGGCTACGTAAGTTTCCAAGTGGAATGTCGATGCTGGTGATGATTCACTAATGCAACGTAGCCTGGCCAGCCACAGTATCAAGCATATCCAGGTGCCCAAGGTGCCGGTGCTCCCGGGGTAAGCCCAAAAAGCTCCTTCTTTCTCTTGTCACTTGCTCTGCGTCGTCATCGCCCATTCCCTACCCGCCACCTAAGACTAGGCATTCGCAAACCTTTTACCTAGTCTCCACTCTGTTTTTGGCTCCAACTGCAATAAACCCCGCCCCCGCCTGGAACAAATCCACTCTGGACTTGACGCGCCACACTTTGCTCCTGGACCTAGCCACACATGCCTCTATCAAGCAAAATGGCCTCTAGCTACAGCGCCTATCAGCCCAACGCCGGGCAGGCGCCAAATCCTTATGCGCAGCAGCAACAGCCTGCACCTCCTATGCCCCCGCGTCCTGGTTCGTACGCGCCGCCACAGTCACCATTTGCGCAACCAACAGCTCCAAATTCTTATGGCACATCTTCACCGTATCCTCAAGGACAGTCGGGGTATAGCAGGCCTCCTCCGCCACCACCAGGACAACAGCCTCAATCTCCATATCCTCAGGCGCAGTCTCCGTATCCTCAATCACCATTTCCCCAGTCGCCACAGTCAAACCAGGCGCCTCCAGCGCAGTGGAATCAACCCCAGGTTCCACCGCCCTATGGACAACCACCTCCTCAACAGTACCAGCAGCAAAACCAATGGGGTCAACCACAACAACCTACTTACGGACAGCCGCCGCAGCAGTATAGCCAACCTTACGGCCAACAGCCCCCTTATCAGCCAAATGTTCGTACTAATCTAGACTTTCTCGATTTTTTGTCTCCATCCTTGAATTTTCAATACGTACGAGCAGAGACGCAGAGCTAGTGATATTTGTTCAAAGTTATATACATACTAACATAATGTCAGGGTGGTCCTCCAGGACAGCCTCCGCAGGGCCAGTATGGCGCACCTCCACCACAGGGAGGCTATGGCGGCCCCCCTCCTCCTCAACAGGTTCAAGCTGGGCCAGCTGAAGTTGCAGGCTACAAACAGTTGCTACAAGCTTGTATCCAAGAAAAGGGTCTCCAGAACTTCCCAATCTGCCAGAACCTCGACCGGATCGCCCAAGATGCACCCTCAAAGATCAACCAAGTCATCCAGCGCTGGCGTATCCAAAAGGAGATCGCCAATGACATTGTCAAGCTGGCACTATACGACATCGTTCTATACATCGGTAGGTCGCAAAGAACTAAGCTGCTGATCAAGCTGACACCTTCCAGACGACAGTGGTTCCATGCAGTTTGAAGAGGAAGGCAGCCGTATCAAAGACTTGCGCCTTATTCTGGAACGAGTCTCCTTTGCTGCTACGCTCTTTGACAACGACGGAATCTCAGTCCGGTGCATGAACACCGACCTCTCTAATGCTCGTAACCAACAGGGTCGACCTCTCCAAGATGGCGTCGCCACTGAGGCCCAGATCGAAGAGATCATGCGTGGTGTGAACTTCAAGGGCCTCACGCCTATGGGCAGCTCTATGGAGACAAAGGTCATCAATGAGATAGTACTCCAAAAGGCACGATCCGGACAGATGCAGAAGCCAGTACTCGTCATCGCTATAACTGATGGACAACCGGCAGGTGAACAGCCGAACAAAATCTTTGATGTCATCAAAGGAACATACAGACAACTCCAGTCAACGCCCTATGGCCGTGGCGCTGTCGCCTTTGAGTTCGCCCAGGTTGGAAATGATACGACTGCCAGGGCATTCCTCGGTAAACTCGATGAGGACCCTGAGGTTGGCCCTATGGTTGACTGCACATCCAGTAAGTTTCCCTATTTACGGATCGAATTCGTGCTAACATGAATTTAGACTTTGAAAACGAACAGGAAGAGATGATGCGTGCCAACCCACCTGTCGATCTCACACCGGATCTTTGGATCCTCAAGCTTCTTCTTGGTGCTATTGACCGAAGCTACGATTCCAAGGACGAGAAGACCAACCCAGCGCCCGGAGGCTACGGTGCACCACCTGGTCAATATGGCGCGCCTCCGCAAGGCTACGGTCAGCAGCCACCGCAAGGCTATGGCCAACAGCCGCCCCAAGGCTATGGCCAACAGCCACCACAGGGTTACGGTGCTCCACCTGGTCAGCAACCCCCTCAAGGCTATGGTGCTCCTCCACAAGGCTACGGCCAACAGCCACCCCCACCAGGTCAGTACGGTCAGCAACGACCGCCTCAAGGTGGTCCCGGCGGATACCCAGGTCAACAACAGTACGGCCAACCGCCGCCAGGTGGCAGGTACTAGGAGTGGATCCATGTATCAAAATCCGACGGTCTGGAATGTGAGTCAGATGAGGGCACGGTATGGAATTTGAATAATCCTGAAGGTCTGGGAATCATTGCTAGTATTGAACGGCCTCATGCCATCATGCCATTACGATTTTCCTTCATCGGCGAGAGTTGAGCAAGGTTCATAACTTTTCGGTAAGGAAGGTCTCAATGAAAGTCTAATGATTTCTCTTCATTCTTTTACGTGGATACAAGTATCACGTCTCATCGCGCGTGATCTCTCACATGTCAGCAATTTTTTGACGTTGATCGCTAGTGGTGTGATGCGGCCTCTGCCAGTTAATCATGACTCTTACAGCGCTAGTATGTAACTGACAGAGGAGGAGTGTCAGATATCAAAGTCGCATCCGCATAGCACTCGCGATACTTCACCTTTCATTCAGTATCGCGACCATTCACGGAGTGCAGGTCGTATGAAATGCCGTGGCGCGGAGTTCCTACAGATTAACACCAACGCACATTTATCAGGTTTGAACAAACTCACACAGACCCAAAGACCATATCTCTTCTACACATCATACACCAAAGACACTAATGTGCCTCTGCCAACTAGTATTGCAAAGCTCCATGGCGCCGCCTTGATAGCTCCAACTTATCATATCGTCGTCAAAGTCACAGATCCTTCCTCTTATAGCTTTTACTTAACACACATCTGTGCCATCGACAATGCTACGGAAGTACCTCTTGCTCGCGTACACCGTTCGATTAGCACCGCAATAAACGACTGGAAATACGAAAACCTGCAATGGAACTCCACCAACCCTAATCGCGGTCTCTGTGTGCGGTTCAGAATAAATGCGAAGAAGAGAGAGAAAGGGGATGGGAAGGAAAGAGAAGGCGCGTGATATACAGAATCTAGCGCAGCAAGACGGTGAGAGGATGCCGGACAAGCGGGAGGCGCTAGCTATGGCTTGTATGATGAAAGTAGCAAGAAGGGCCATTGGTAAGTCGATATTCTACCAGTCCCGGTGACTTGCCCGTGTTCTGATGAGTATTTGGGCCGCGTGCTCCATGAAAAGGACTTTGGGGCAATGGGTCAGGAGGAGTTCGTGATCATTAGTACTGAGAGCGAAGGGACAGTTCAAGCGAGCCTGTCAGTGGACAGCAAAGAGGAACAGAGTGTTGTTGCGAGAATCAGTGGCAACGATCATTTCGAGGCTGTCTATGCGCTCGATAATGCAGTAGGTGTTGAGCATAAGAAGCAGCGGAGAGAGGAGCAGCATCGGCATATATCATGATGCTGCTGACAGACTCAAGACCAGAACCAGATGGCGTGCTCTTCCTGTTAACGAAAAAAAAAAAGCTTGGTCTTGTCCTGGATGTGGTGCCCACATTCGCCCACCCTCCACTGTGACAATATGTAGGTACATAGATAGAGAACAAACCCCGCTAACGACATCGGAAGAATTCTATCAACGACTCCACACCCGCACAAAATGCCCGTGCGACAAGTGCGACTTGGTATTTATACCGTTTGGACTCCATTCGCTGCCCTCTCGGTGTTTAAATTGGTCGCTAACGGCACTTCACCTGAGCTTTCCGGGGAAAATAGATTGGTTAGGCGCACGAAAACCAGGCTCGCTTCCGTCGCGAAGCACGCCGCTGCACGCCACAACCACACTCTGGGGTAGGTACAATATCGCGATAATATCAGCTTGTGCGCCTGTGATCGGATTCTGAGCGATGGAAGATCTTGGAAGTCATATGGTGGATGTCGTGTGTGGATGGAAAGCAACACAAGCTATGTCTCGCCTTGGTGACCATGCCCATTGCTGCTACAAGGCCGTAGGCAAGGGGCTCGTGGTCATTTAAAGACACTATACGATACTTAACTTACCAGATTTAGTCGGTCATTGCGCTCCGTTCTTTATCGAGGAGAACATGAGAAGTCAGTAACACCATCTCAAACCGTGGAAGACATATAAGAGAAGAATCGAACACAGCATATCTCCATCAAAGCAACGACACTCGCTATCTGAAGCTTCACAGATCCACTCCTCTACAGTCTCTATCATGTATACCTCCGCGCTCTTTCTCGGCGCTCTTGCCGTCCTCCTCGACACCGCATCCGCCCATGGCTTCGTCAAGGGTGTCAACGTGAAGGGAACCTTTACCAACGGCTCTGACCCAGTCTGGTACTACTATGCCAAGGATGCTCGTCCTCAAACTGCAGGCTGGGATGCCCTGAACCAAGACATCGGTTTCGTCGAGCCGAACTCCGTCGGCACTGCAGACGTGAATTGCCACAAGAGCGCCACAGCCGGACGTCTCTATGCCAATGTCAATGCCGGTGACACTATCGAATTTGAATGGAGCACTTGGCCCGACAGCCACAAGGGCCCGATCATCAACTACATTGCACCTTGCAACGGTGATTGCACCACTTTGACACCAGGTGCTCTTCGCTGGTCAAAGATTTCTCAGTCGGCTATCATCAGCCCCGGAACCTGGGTCACAGATAAGCTCATTACGGACAAGTTCAAGGTCTCTACTGTTCTTCCAGCTAAACTTGCACCTGGCAACTACGTCATTCGCCACGAGATCATTGCACTCCACGGCGGTCAGAACGTCAATGGCGCGCAACTGTACCCTCAGTGTAAGTTTTTCCACTGCTCAGCACTTAGAAGATGCTCATGATCGATCTAGGCTTGAACCTCAAGGTTGGAGGTAGCGGTTCCGTTAAGCCGTCTGCTGGTGTTCCAGGTACTAGCTTGTACACAAAAGACATGCCTGGCATTGTGTTCAACATCTACACCAACCCTACCACTTACACCTTCCCTGGTCCGGCTCTGTGGACTGCCGCTAACTAAGTCATGGTGTCCAAACGCTGTGTTGGAAACAAACAGGATTGGAGAGCACTGGGACGCGGATTGGTGATGTTCATGGTAGACGATGTGTGCTGAGTTCTCTTCGTGTTTATACTTGGTCCTCTTGGTAGTTACGTAGACCTAACAATCGTTTCTATAGTCTAACCTTTACCCATGCTGGCTGTCCCGTACACGGGAAAGTTCTTGTTTTTTTAGTTGTACCTAACGCTGAAAAAACGTCCTAGAGGCATATATATCATTTATCAATATGTCAGTGTCTCAACAGAGTTACACAAACGCCCTGGGTGCGGTTTGAAGTTGGGAACAACTTAGAAAATATCAAGAGCTTTCACGTACAAGAACTGTGCTCCCTTCAATCGAATTCTTATTGCTACAAAGATGAGCGATTACTAGGGCGATGAGATGATGTTTGGGATGTGGTCCTGACAGATAATTGTGCAAGATCAGCAGCCTCTACAGGCATCTGTCTTTACGGTGCCTACAGAGTCGAGATCAGTCAAGAAGTGGCCTGAGCGGATGAACAGAGTCTTGAAGTTTTGTAGAGGTATATTGCAAGCCTAGCATAGTCCCTAGAACTAAAGCAATAACAGTAGGGGGACTAGTTAGCCAACCATTGGGGTGAAAAACGCCAGACTCCTCATTCCCGTTTTGAACAATACACTCGATACATGATCGAACAGCTTCTCGCCCAAACTCGCCGCATGCGCATTGCTCTCTTTACTTCCTGACCGTCTTGGCGGCCTTGCCAACAACCTTGACGAGCTCACCGTACGCCTCGGTGAACTCCTCGTCGCCCTCGCCTGCCTTCTTACCCATCCTCTCCTTGCCAATCATGACCACGCTGGTGGGCCTCTTTGTTGCGCTAGCCTCACCAAGCTGCGCGCGGCTCTTGATGTAGATGTACGGTACGTTGTGGTCTTCGCAAAGAACGGGGATATGCGCAATGACGTCCATGGGCGAGATATCGGCAGCGATAACGACAATGGCGCTGGGGTCGCTGGAAGTACCTGCGCTTGAGGCGGCGGATTTGCGCAGCGCCTTTACGACTTCCTTTACACCACGACGGAGGGTCTTGGATTTGGCGGCTGTAGTGGAAGAAATGTTAGTTTTTCCTGGTTGCGCCAGATGGCAGGAAGACAAAATAGGAAGAACATACACTTCTTGACAGTCTTGAGGATCTTCTTGACCTCCTTGTCATTGTCTGCAAGAGGGAACGCAAAGGGAACGAGTGCGCCGCGCGGCTCATCGCTGCCGTCAACGACGTTGACCATGGAGACTTCTGGCTCTTTCTCAAGCTCGGCCTCGAGCGCGTCTACCATCTCGACATCGCCCTTGACCTTCTTCTCCTTCTTGTCCTTCTTGCTCTTGGACACGCCATCGGTCTCCGCGCGCTTTTCCTTCTTTTCCTTCTTGTCCTTCTTCTCCTTCTTCAGCCTCTTCTCCTCGATATCTTTCGACATTGTGTAGTTAAGCGACTGTAGTTTATCGGTAGGAGTTAGAAATGTGGGTGTGTGGTGGTGGCTGGTAATGCGTCGTGCTGTGGTCGGGCTGGTCGCGGAGCTCTATTCGCGAAATTTTGGAAAAGTTCAGACTGAAGCTCAACGCGCTAGTGCTGTAGTGTGGCACGGACCATCCATCAATTTTAGTGCCTTCGCAACCATGGCACAGCACAGCGGAGCACATGCAGACATCACAGACAGATTGCGTTCCAAGTCGTCCAAGTGAGATGTATTCATGTAGTACTGATTGAGATCAAATTGCATTTTCACTTCATGTCTACTACCGGAATATCCGCCATCTCCGTCGCCGCGAAGTCAACCCATGAAATACTGTGGTATATATAGAGAAAGAACCTGATGCCACCAGAAACAAAAGGCATTACCGAAGTGGAGGCAGATAACAAACAGGTATTAGCAGAAACGCGTCAAAGGCAACGCTAGTAGCAGGACCGAAGTAAAGTAGTAACGCGCCTAGGGCCAGCCTTCGATAGTCCAGAAATGCCGATGGGTATGAGCGAGGGAAAGATATTAGAAGAATACCAAACGAGGAGAGCATGAGCTCGAGTGTGTAGGATCTGGACCAGACCGCCCTGTGCGCCGAATTACCCCAATCTTGAAAAGTGAAATGAGATAGGAATAGACTGATGCTGAATGCGCCAAACTCCTTGCCATGCTCCCAGGTGCGAGGAGACGACGACGACAGGCTGAAGAAAAGCCCACATTCTGTGAAAAGAAAAGAGAGATCGAAACAAGATCGCGAAACACCAAGGGCAGCGCAAGCGATAGCTCGCGCTTAATAGGCCATTTGCATCTCAAGGACCTGGACGCCGCCAGCAGCCATCGATGGCGTAGCAGACCCGGATCGAGACGACATGGCATCTTCGTAGCCAACAAGGGCTTGTGAATGTAGTTTGAAGGCCTCGCCCATGAGTTTAGTGATACTGTGTTTTGTTAGTGACAAGTCCGAAACATAGATACTAGTTTACATACCCCCAAACAACGACCTCATCGATCATGCTTCCCCAGAGTCGCGCCACTGTGGAGCTCAGCTTTGCACCGTAGACATCTACCGAGTCGTCATCGAATAGGTTGCGCAATTTGTTGTACATTGCTAGCTCCTCTTCGGTAGCTGGCTCTTCGTCGTGCTCAAGGCGGTAAAGCCACAGCGTTAGGATGACCATCAGATCCATACCAGTAAGTGGATGCTCGATGCTCCAGTTGGTAGCAGAAGTCCGTGCGACCCAACGGATGCCTTGCACAGCAGCAACCTCGATACAGTCGAAGCATTCTTGAATGACCTTGATCATTTCCGGAGAGCGCTGAACCTTGTCGCGGGCATTCGTCATAGCAGCAGCTACTTCGTAAGAGTCGTGGTAGCGGAGGGCTTCCTGAATGGACTTGAGATCGACCACTAGTCGGGCTCTGGTGTTCCTGTACAATGCCATGGCGTTAAAGATGAGTGGGTGACCCTTGTGTGGAGCGCTCAGTTGAACAACGACCGTCTCCGGCTCGCATAATTCGAGCGATTTCTCCCAAGTCTCCAAGGCCAGACGCAGCTTGTACTCGGTGACTACGTCCTGAAGAGCTTCAGGGCTGCGCTTGTGGTACCATACTTCGAGGAATAGTGCATTGATCATGACGCGTGTGGCGAAGGCACTGTAGCGCGCAGTCTCGCCTTGGAATAGATTGTCATGTGCTTGACGGAACGTGATAATCTTGGAAGCACTCAGGCTTTCGCGCCATGCTTCATCGTCAGATACCTCCATGGTCCAGAGCGACTCCGAAGAGGGCAGCTCTAGGGTGTCGAACTCGTTGAAACCCATTGCTGGCGTGTGGTTGTAGGTGAGAGTTAGCAGACCAAAGAAAATGTAGACTGCATAGTAAGTTCTGCGGCATTGCTCATCGACGACCCATTCTTCATGGTTTGGTTGAGCACCATCACGGGCGTCGGAGCGAAGCTTGAGTTCATATCGGTTTCCTGCAACCATCTGCGGTTTGTTAGTGGCTGTGATGAGCAGGGCAGGTAAAAACATACGTTGGCGAGCAGACTCTTGATTGAACAAGCCCACTCGAGTCCTTTTGGATCACCACTCCAGCTGCTGAAGATCATGTTAAGCAGGGTACTCTGCATAGTCCACAAAGGACATTTGCGGGAGCTGAAGTTCTCCTTGTTCTGAAGGAATTGGTTGACTAGGACCTTTGATCCAATGTGCAGCATGTAGGCCTGATCCTGATCAAAGATGTACAAGGCACCTATCGATAGCACGGCAAGTAGCAGCGGGGCAGACACCTCAGTCGGGTTGAAGGTGGCGGGATGCAAGAACGGCAGATGGTGATGGAACAGATCAAAGTACGTCTTCAACAGGCGGTTCAGCGTGTTCAGACTAGGCAGGTGGAACGTCTCCAAGAGCGCGTTTTCACTGTCATACTGCTTGATGTTCTCATATATCCTTGCGCACTGCTCCTCCGAGTCTAGCTGAGGGGCGCGGGTCATCATCAGAGCCTGGTTGGGGCCGGGCGACTTGCGGTAGTCAACAGGCGACACAGGTCCCATCATGGAGGGATAGGGCGAGAGAGCACCGGGGGTGCCCAGCCCGTTGCCGCCGTTCATTGCTGAAAAAGTAGGGGCGAGACTATCACTACCAGACATGGTGCGCTCCATTAGTGGTGGCAACTGATGAGGGTGCGAGCCGAGTGCGCTGGCGCTGTTGAAGGCTGAGTGCGTGTTCGGCGAGGACTTGGGCTCTGACTGGGGAACCATTGAGTCTCGCCACGGCATCTGAGGCAGCATGTTCTGGCCTGGAGCGGTGTATGGGATGACAGGCTCCATCATGGATGGACCTGTGGGCGATATGACGGGCTCGTTGTGCTCGGGGATCATCTCGGGTTCCTGACTCGCCATTGCTTTGTGATGGAAGTCGGTCATCAGCATGGCAGCGGCGTTGAGGTCTTCGTCCTCGTGCATCGCATCGTTGTCAGCCTCGATGCGCTCGAGCGTCGTCGCACTCTCGACGGGCGCGGCTTTTGAAGGCCCTTGGTCGGCCGCCTTGGTGTTTGTTCGTCGCTTCTGTTCGCTGGGGAGGGGCGCCCCGCCATCCTTTGCGTGGACGGTGCGGTCGTGGCGCAGGAGGAGATCACGACGGACAAACGTGGATCTGCATTTTAAGCACCTGATGCGAAGTCAGTACATTTCTCGCCATTTAGCTCGTACAAGGGCGTCTGCTTACTTGAAGGGTCTCTCTTTGGTATCTGTGGTGAGGGGCAAGTTAGCGATCTTCTTTCTCTTGTCTTCCCCGCAGCGCGCATCCACGTCGCGCATGTCCCGCATCAACAAACAGCCACCCCGCCCAAAACAAGCGCATCTCGATCGCGAATATAGAGAATGAAATAGGGTAATACGAACGCGATCTTTCGTGTCTCGAACGATGCTCTGACCTCGAGAAGGCTCTGTTGCAGAACTGGCATTTGTACTTTTCCGAAGTC